AAAATAAATGAGGGAAGTTCTCTAAGCAGAGTTTATAAACTTTGGAAAAAGTTTCAGTTCAAGATGGGAGGCTGAACCCACAAGTCTGTATGACCTCCCATGAAAGGAAAAAGAATCTTTTAAAAGGTATATAAATCTACAATAAAGAATGGGGGCCCATCAGCAGTTAACAGAGTTCAACAAAAAGCTGAATGATAGAAATCAGACTGAAGTACGTTTATAAATAAAGCGGAGGAAAATGAGCCTCAAATAAACACAGAGGGGACTGCAGCAGAGATGGGGGCCCATCTACCCAGGAAATTCACGAGGAGGCTCAAGACTCAAGACACCAAAAATGACAGAGACGCAAGGCCAAAATGAATAATGACTCAAGTGTCTGTATGAGAAACAGTTGACCCCATCTCACCATAACCCTCCCCGCATGCAGCCCTACCAGAAAACAAGCCTTTAAACTAAACCTAACTTTGGGGGGAAGGTGTAGCTCAATGGCAGAGTGAGTGCTTAGTATGTACAAGGTCCTGGGTTCAATCCCCAGTACCTCCATTTAAAATAAAATAATGTAAACAAACAAACAAACTAAACCTAACTTGAAAACCAAATCAGAGGGCTCTCTTCTAAAGAACTAAATGAATTATCCGGAGAACCAGAGCAGCTTCTGAAAACTGCAGCACCCCGCAGTCAAGTTTTCCACATTCTAGCATTTGGAGGCTCCCAATGTAACATCTGGCCCCATCCCAGCCACACTAAGGTAAAATCACAAGACAAAATTCACTCTCCATACATACACAGCTTCCAAACAAACAGCGTTCTTATTCCCTCATTCTAAAATAGAATAAAAATTATAAGGCATTTGAAGAAAGTCTATTGAGGACAAGGAGAGACTAAAACTTACTTAAAACTAAAAAAACAAACAAACAAAAACCCTAGAATAATTCAGGGGAAAAAAAAAACAGAACTAAATTAAACAACAAACCAAAACAGAAATACCTCAACAAACGTTTTAATAGTCCCTGCTTCTGATAATGGCAAATTCCTGCTGAGACCAACTGATACAGCTGATTAAAATATTTTTAAAAAGAAAAATCCTTCAGGCATTAAAGAGGCCTCAAGGAAAGGCAAATGCAAAATCTGGAGAAGGTAACGCAACACAAAGAAAACCCAACCTTGGAAACTGCTTTTAACCCGAGGGAATCTGCCAATCCAAAAGAAAGCTCAAGAAATTGTGCTGTGATTTTGGCAGGCTGAGCAAATCAAGAGTCAAATCAGAGAATGTGCTCAAGTAAGAAGTTCTGATTAACTGCCCCCTTTTTAAAAGCTCGATTCCCAAAAGGCTACACCCTCAGAGTAAGGTAGAGCTAGAATTAAATGACCCCCTCACAGACCTGCCATCGGGGTTTTTTTATCATCACAATGATAAAGGAATCCTCAAGTCCTGGATTTGCAAAGGAGGTCCTGCACTGATACATGCCCCGAGGTGCCTTGCAGAAGCAAATGAGCACCTTGTTTGGAGAAAGGTCTCATTATGCAGGCCTCAAATTATCCAACAAATTATTTTTTCAAATACAGTGAAAAATATACCAAGATAACTAGGCATACAGGGAAAGAAAGACCATGAGACAATACCAACAGAAACAACAGAGAGAAAAATAAATCAATCAACCAACCTTAAAAGGCTTTGGACATTAGCTTGGACACAGACTATAAACAATTGTACCTGTTATGTTTAAGAAAATACAAGCCTTAGAACATGTGCAGCAAATACAAATAATAAAAAAATGACAAAATAGATTTGAAAACTAAACGAAATTCACAAAAACTGAAAAATACAAAAACAAGGACTGAAACTAATAAATCAACAGGAAAAGATTAAAGGAGACAAGACCACAGAAGAGAGATAATAAACTGGAAGGTCAGAAAAATTACACAGAATGTGTCATGGAAAGGCAAAATTATGGTTGACTTTTAGCATATTTTAATAGGAATCCAAGAGAGAAGGAACAAAACAGAGTCAACATCTGAAAAGATACTGGCTGAGACCTCTCCAGGACAGACGAAAGCCATCAATCCATAGATTTAAGAAACCTAAGCAGACTACGGAAAAGCGAATCAACACCTAAATACATCAGAGTGAAGCTACAGAAAAAAATCAAAGACAGAAAAATCTTAAAAGCAGACAGAAAAAAGGGGAACAAATTAGCTTCAACAGAAACAACAGAAGCCAAAAAAAGAGAAGAATGATCACTTCGATGTGCTAAAAGAAATAAAGTTTCACCTAGAATTCTATGTTCAGCAAAAATATCTTTAAATAAAGAAAATAAAAGGTTTTCACACACACACAAAAAAAAGTAGAGTTTGCTACCAGCAGATCCTGTAAAACCAAGGATTTACATCACAAAGAAAGAAAGTGATCAAAAATGGAGAAGAAACATAAAAAAGGAAAGAGGAGCAAAGACAGCATAAACATGTGGTTAAGTTCACACAACATCGCCAGTATACTACAGCGGTAATAATGCCTTACGTGGGTTGAGAAAGACAACATAAAACGGGTAACAGTAACAGCATGAGTCGGGGATGAGGGACTTGTAAATTGAGCTCATTGAATTCTAAGATCCTATTTTGCTGAGGATGAAGGGAAAGGTACCAACACTAGGCTCTCACACATTAAGGATGCATGTAGTACCAATTTTTTAAAAACTAGAATGTAGAAAGTTCAAATTGATAAGAGTTAAAAACGGAATGAATTATCCTCAAAAAAAAGGCAAAAAAAAAACCCATAAAACAAGGACAAATAGAAAGCACAAAATAAGAGGATGCATTTATACATCATTAATTACACTAAATGTAAATGAATTAAGTGCTTAGAGATAATCAGCCTAAAATTTTAAAAATAATCTAATTATGAGAGAGGGAATCAAGACAGTTGAATAGGAGGACAAAGAGCTCACCTCCCCTCAACAACACATCAAAAATACATCTACATGTAGAGAAATCCTCACTGAGCACTAACTGGAGACTCGCAGAAAGATGCCTGTAACACCAAGGCTGTAGAAAGGCTCCACAGACAGCTGGGTAGGAAGGGATGAGAAGCAGTCAGGTCAGGACCCGCACCTAGCAGGGGGCACAGAGCAGGAGGGGGGTTATGCTGGCTTAGAGCCCCACCCTGGGTAGTGAGCAGTCTGCATCACACCACGGGCACCCCAGCTCTGGGGTCCAACCACGGAGGATGAGGCCCCTCAGCTGGTTTGAAATTCACTGGGACAGACAGCATGACTGTTAAGAAATGTAGACTCCACGAGTGAAGGGCACTTACACGCTTGCTAATTCCTGGAACAAGGCAGAGGAAGCCGCCTGCAACTGCCCAGCATTCTAGCTGATTTCCCGTGACCACGCAGTGCATGCCCCGGCCCGCCGTGCTCCAGAGCCGCTCCACCCTAGGGCAACGGATGCTGCAGCTGAGGAGAGCGCCTGCCGGTGAGGGACAGAGCTGGCGGTCACAGGGCTGCAATCAGGAGTGATCTGGAGCTCCAGCTGCTGTCAGGACCACGCCAGAGAGCACCCCAGCCGACACCAAGTGCCCACTCCAGCCCCTCTTGCTCTGCAGCACTGTTCGCCACTAGGGCAAAGGCTAATGTTGCCGAGAAAAGTACAGAGTTGTGGAGGACAGAGCTGACTGAAGCCTGGCAGAGCATCCAAATGGGGAAAGAGCACCCATTACTATTGATCATGGGGCAGCAGATCAAGAGCAGTCTGTAGCTGACTGGTGCTGGGACCACCCAAGCATGGGCCCCAGCCTCCACGGGGAGCCCAATCCAGTCCTCGGGTTCCAGCACGTCTCCCTTCTGGGGCAAAGGTGCCAACGCTGGGAGGGGCAAGAGCACACACTCAAAGAGAACAGAATCAGCTCACACCCTACTCTCAGGGCTTTTGCTCCAACAATTTAAGATGTGACACAACCCCTAACAGGGTGGTGCTGGCAACTGAGCAACAGAGAAGACCTGGCTCACACCTGCCTCTGGCTCTCGCCGCTCCACGTCCAGCCTGCCCTCCTACGAAGATGACAGCTGCCAGCACCCCCTGCAGGAAGAGGTGACTCTTGTTCATTTCAGATCCAGCTCTCCCACCAAAGCCACAGGCCACACGCGGACTGTATAAAGATGCTCCGGGGGAGGGTATAGCTCAAATGGTAGAGCGCATGCTCAGCAAGCCTGAGGTCCTGGGTTCAATTCCCAGTACTGCCTCTAAAAAATAAATATATAAGTAAGTAAACCTAATTACCACCCCCCCAAAATGTAAAGATGCTCCCACACGAGCACACCCCTTTAAGA